ATTGCGATGCCTCCCAATAACGCTGCCGTCGCCGGGCGGAGGCCCCAGGGCCAGGGCCAGAACCAGGACCCGACATCAGTGAGTGTGCAATTGCGCTGGACCCTTGATTTGAATGGACTCAGTCTAATGGTGTTTCTGTTTGCGCGCGCGACCAGGCCATTCCCGGTTGGACAAAGCTCTTGATCGGAGGAATATGCTACTTCGGCCTGAACATCTTCCTGAATCAGGCATTCTCTAAATCACAGACGACTGTCACCCGAACCGACCCCAAGACCGGCGAGAAGATCCAGGTTGCTAGCAACACCGGCGAGATCCCACCTTTCCAGCTCCGACCCAAAAAGCTAGATGAAGGCGCGCAGTATCAAGCCTTCCCTACCAAGATCGCACCCATCTGGCCTCAAGATGCCCACGTGGACATCATTGTGTCTCTGTCGCCCTCTTTCAACCCCACCCCTCTCTCGCAGACCCCCGACGAATACATTGTTCTCAATGAGAAGGAATTCCACATGAACAATTACACGGACAAGAGATCTGTAGATACCAAGTTCACCGTACCCAAGGCCGTCCAGAACAATGGCACTCTCTGGGGCCACTTTTATATTGGACTTCCTGGAAGCGTTTTGGACCCCAAGAGCCCTAAATTCAACTCCGACGTGGCATATCACTTTGCCTACCCATTGACTCAATATCTTCCCAAGAAGAAGATCGCCAAGACTCGCCATCTGCTCGATGATCTACCCGCTCCTGTCGAGGAGGAGCCTGAAGACAATACACCTGGGCCCGTCCTTGCCAACTACTATCACCCAAATGCAAGTTTCTCCATCGTTCCCAATCTGGGTGTTGCCAATTTCCGACAAGTTCCCAATGCTGCCAAACACTTTCTCCAACTTGAAAGAACTGGCGCCCGTGACGGAAGTGGTGAGAATGGATGGTACTGTATGTTGTTCTCTACCTAAAGGCGATAGACTTGGAGATTTGAAACTAACTGGCATCGCAGACCCTCTCCTATTTGTGAACAACTTCTGGCAACTTACCAGCCACATGACACTTCTCAATGATACTGTCACTGAACTCCCTCTTCATATTGATCTCACCAATATGGCAAGCTGGAAGTTTCAGATCTTGGCAAACATGGAGATGAACTCGAAAGAGAACGCTCGCCAGGCTGCTTTCGGAAACTCCCTGCCTACCGGCGGTGATGGCACTGAGATCGAGATGATCAAGGAGATTTTCATTGATACCAACCCTATTCTTCTCGGCGTTACCATCGTCGTGAGCATTGCCCATATGATTCTAGAGACTCTCGCCTTTGGCTCTGATATTGCCCATTACCGCAAGAAGAAGGACAATGTTGGCATTTCCGTGCGCTCCATCCTGGCCAATGTGTTTATGCAGACCGTCATTCTCCTTTACCTGGTCGATAACTCTCAAAACACCAGCTGGATGATCCTAGGCCAGCAGGCGATCGGCATCCTCATCGAATTCTGGAAGATTACCACAGTGGTGAATGTACGAGTTCGACCTGCCCCTCCTGGATCATGGTTGCCATTCTGGATTGTATTTGAAGACAAGAGCCAGCTCAGCGAGACGGAACAGAAGACCAAGGAGTACGACCAGATCGCTTTCAAGTACATGTACTACCTTGCTGTGCCGCTCTTGATTGCCTACGGCATTTACTCTCTATACTATGATACGCACAAATCGTGGTACTCGTATATCATCACTACTTTGGTGGGGTCTGTCTATGCGTACGGATTCTTGATGATGGTCCCCTCGCTGTACATCAACTACAGGTTGAAGAGTGTTGCGCACATGCCTTCAAAGGCCATGATGTACAAGTTCCTCAATACCTTCATTGACGATCTGTTTGCCTTCACTATCAAGATGCCCCTGCTTCACCGCCTGGCAACACTGCGTGACGATGTCATCTTCTTTGTCTATCTTTACCAGCGCTGGGTTTACCGCATTGATTATACGCGTGTGAACGAATTTGGACAGGGCGGGGATGATGATGAGCCAGAGGAGAAGAAGAAGGAAGGTGAGGAGACTGAGGCCGAGGCCAAGGCCGAGGAGAAGGCCGAAGGAAAGGCCACGGGTGCTTCTACTGGCAAGGCAACAAAGCGAAAGTAAAGTGACGTGTTACACCTTCTGGATGACATGACACTGTTGGACGCCTAGGTGCATGAGATGCGAATTGGAAGTGGTTGCATAGGGCGCTCAGCTGCTGTATAGATCCTAATAATAGTACCTAGGTTGCATTTCGCTACTCAAGTAGCACTGCAGATGGAAACGGGGGGGCTTACCGTGGGGGATGCTGGTTGAGTATCCCAAATTGAGTAATGGCTATCCGATCTACCTGCTATTAATAATGCATTCATCGCTTTGCAATTGTCAGACTACAAGTAATCAGATGGCCGAACCCATAGCTGAAATTCTGCCAATAGTCTAGCCAATATCTACAATAAGCGTATGATTGATGGATTTTCAGCTGTGCCCTCTGCTTCCTTTGCGAGGAATAGCCTTCGCCTAATGGCAACCTAGTTGGCAGCTTAAAAAGCTCGTAAATGAATGCCCCATGGATGAATGTCTCTAGGACAAGCCACCCCCCATAGTCCTGCGGCATTAGTGACACTCAGCCCTACCTACAAGCAATCCGACTGGCTGGAGGGCATTGGGTGAGCGCGCGAAGGACCTTTCGTTTAGTGTGTCTGCCGACCTGCTGAATGATTGGTGCTGACTGTGTTTGGCGCAGGTACCGGGCCCCCCAATGGGTCTGTCTCCCTTCCATGTGATTGTTTGAGGACGAGAGACGAGCTGCTGAAACCAGATTCCTCCTGATAACGCATAAATTCTGAGGGCCAGAACACCACACGCGACTACTTTCTGTGTTGATCAACAACCTGCCGCCAAGTCCTCGTGGTCCGAGCAGATGCGGTTTCTAGTGGCGGCCTGTCCCTTAACGCTATTTTTGTGACAGCCCCAGGCACGAGCCACGTATGCGCTCATAGTTCCCACCCATCCGCCACACTCCCTCTCTTCTACTTTCTTTCTTTGGGGGGAGCATCTCAAGCACTCGATCTGCTTCTGCTGTCATCGGACAGCACTGCTGCGAAGTATTCTCCTTGTCTAGGTGACCCCGTGCGAGACCCCCGGCTCCACCGTACTAGCTCAACCCAAGAGCCGTTGCCGACGATGCCCTCACGTTCGTGCGCCACCACCACCGTTGTTGCCGCTGCTGCTTGAATGCCGCTGCTCCCCCACGACCAATTGCGCCCCATTGCAGCGAACCCTCCGCGGCCGTTGCGTCCACCATGAGCCGCAGCACCGCCGCCGACTCGGTCGGGTCGCTGCTCGCTGAGATTGCCAATTTTCTCGTCGACGGCGTGAGGATCCTGAGCTTATCTGATAGGCGACATTGGGGCCCGGACGAGCACGAGCAGCTCCGTGCTCTGGAGGACGCCCTCGACGAGGCCAAGAAGGACTTCCAGGGCCTTGCGCCGCTGGTGAATGGGCAATCCCACTACGAAAACGACCGTTCACGTACGTCCAACCCAACCTCCTTTCCGTCCGCTGCTTATCTTTGCTGGCGAAGACGCTGATTAGGGGTCCTACCGAATGAGGAAAGATGGTCCTGAAGGCTAACATCCGCTGCTATAGATGACTCTCTTGTTGCTCTGCGACAACTCCGAAATAATTTTTCTGCTCACATCGGCTGCTTGAAGGACTGGAGCCGATTGGGCGGCCCAATCGACCCGGCATGGGTCCGCGACACCCAAGCTCTGCAACGAGACCTCCACCGCGCGCAGTACCGTGCGGCCGGTCGAATATTCGCGTCGGGGCAGGAGTCCTCTACCCGCTGCCTGGGGGCCTTCCTGGTCTACCGGCAGCAGCGGGCGTGGAGGAACAGGCAGGAACTGAGCGTGGAGGAAGGGGGCTACCAGAGGAGACACTTGGAGGAGCTGAGGGTCTGTAATAATGTTGGGGGTTTCCACCGCCACGGAGAGGAAGATATTGCTTTTATTTGCGACTTTTGCGATGGCCACCTGATTTGGGAGGACTTGGATAAGATGCCCTCCGTGCGTACGGCACATGATAACTCGATATGGACCTCGTCGCCGACCGCGACGACTCTGCCGCTGGCGAACCCCCCACCTGCAAACCAGCCCTCGCCCTCCGCCTCACCCTCGCCTGTGCCCCCTGCCCAGCGCCCCGGACAGCCACAATGGCAAGCCACCGGGTTCTCCAAGTCCCAATATGAGCAGAAGCAGGTCGTCTTTGCCCCTGTGGCGATTGCGAACCACTCAATGCCGATGGGCGGGGGCTGGCAATCGTTTATCACATGCCCCTTCTGTGAAGATGACGCAGACGGGCCGAGAGACACGGACGACGAGGAAGATGTATGGCGGCCAGAGGGCCTCTTCGAGGACGTGGCGTCCTTCCAGGAACATCTGGAATGGCAGCACCCGGCCCTCTCTGCCGCCACGCCAGCCGAGTCGACTTGCCTGGTGATGTGACGAAGCCACCCCCCTTTCCCACCCCCCGGCTGAGAAGATATACAGCAGCGAAAGCCACACCCGCGGATGGGATGGTGTGGCGCAACAGAACATAACACCTACATTGCTAACAAACGGCGTTCTCGGACACACGGAGCGGATACAACATTCACAGCATGGCATTGATATTACTAGTTATTTATGATGATAATGATCGGAAAGCGAATTAATAATCTCATGACTAGATGAACACCTAGATGGACCGAAGGAAGAAAGATGGCAGGATATAAAATGCTACCTAGTACAGAGATTGGGCGCCTAGTGTACATTAGACCAGGGAGACGGAGGATAAGGTGAATGAAATATATATAAATAAAGAGTAAAAAACATGAATAAAACGGACAAATGCATTTGTGATCCCAGTAGTATTCCCGCTACCTAACGTATTACAGCTTTTTCGAAACATTGCAAATCCCAAAACACCTGGCTGCTCTCTCCCCCCCCCCCTTAGAAGAACCTCCACCATATGAAGATGAGCACGATGAGCCCCAGCCCGGCAAAGGGCCCGTACTGCTTTAACATCAGCTCCCAGTTGATGCGCACGGCCGCGCGTCGGTACTTCTTGCTGTCGTCGCGGAGGCGGCTGCTGATCTCGCCCATGCGCTCGAGGCTGTCCCCGCGGTACAGCAGGTCCTCGATGTTCTTGGTCATGATCTTGGTGACGTCGCGCAGCTCGTCGTTGAGCTGGTCGAGGTTCTGGCTGGCGCGGGAGTCGGCGTAGACGGCCTTTGTCTTTGAGATGAAGTTGTCGAACTCCATGAAGGCGTAGGGCCTGAGGCTGGGGGAGTGGACCTGCTGGAGGGGGTAGACGGTGGTGAACTCGCGGCTGAGGTCGGAGAGGTAGGTGAAGGCGAGCTTGCGCGGGTAGGAGTGGTCGCAGATGGTGATGAAGACGATGTCGGACTCGATGAGGTAGTGGAGGGTGAAGGAGCCGGCGCAGTCGACCGAGGCCTGGGACTCGGAGTTGCGGGTGAGCTTGCGGAGGACCTGGCGGACCTGGTTCTTGACCTCGTTGAGGGAGCCTTCGGCCTGGAGATTGTTTCGCGAGTTAGTCTAGGGATTACGAAGTGGGACGGGTAGAGACGGACTTGTTCTTCGTCGACGGAGGCGCAGAGCATCAGGCCTGGAGATGGGGGAGTTGGATTAGCTTCGAGTCGCATTTGGGGTGGCAGCGGGCGGGCGTACCGTCCAGCCGGGATATTTGCGTTGATCGAATCATTGCGGATGTGTGTGTGATTATGCGCGAGAAGGTAGAGGAGGCGAGAACTGCAATTCGGGCAGGGCGTTTTATGGTTTTTGGTCGTCGCTGAGGCTACACGTGTCCAGGACGGATGGTTTGTGGTCGACGGTGCAGGCAGCCAGAAATGTTGCCAGCTATGTCAATTGGGGTGAATCTCTCTTTGTGGGAATTTCGTGGGTAGCGTTAGCGAAAGGCTGTAAATTCAAGTGCGGTCGCTAATAAGAATAAGAAGTCGTGGGCACATAGGAAGAATACAAAGGTAGAAAACAGGACGTCGTTAAATCAATCTAAGAATCAACGTAGCCAGACCAGGGGGTGTTGCTTTAGTGGTGTCTCCATCTAAGTTTAGAACAGGGTTCGTGGTTCCAGCCTCCCCTCCATCACAGATCTGCTTGGGCCCGCCCATCATATACAAGACTAGAAAAAGTGGTGTAAGGAACTGGATAGCTTTGATGTCTTTATTCTTTTCTTTTTCTATCTTTGCTTTCGTAGCTAAATTTCATCCTCTTCATCGTCAAAATCATCCTCGCGGCCCATCTCATACAATATTCGTCCGCCCTCGCCGGCTCCAATATCGGTCTGGGCATCAAAGTAGGGGAGCACGATCCCCTCCCTGTCCTTGCGCTGCTTTTCTGTAAGGCCAAGATTGAATGTGCTCTCTGGTTCATCCTCCCCATCGCCACCGTGAGAATCCTCGGGCGATTTGAACATGGTGTGGTCAGCCAGCAGAAATACCTTTCCAGGCCCTGCGCCCGAGGGTGCAGGTACGAGGATAAATTTCTCTGATACAGTTCTTCCACTCCTGCGCCGTAGATCCATATCAATGACGACGCCGTGCCTGTCGGCGTCTTTGCCAGGCTCTGTGAGACCAATGAGTACGCCCTCTCGATCCTCCCTGAGACCCCACTCGGGCTCGACAAGGCTCCTGTTCCTCGCCTTTTGCCTTTCGATCTCCTGTTGCAGGCTTGAAAGACGTAGAATGGCGGTGGCGAGATGACATAGAACGGTAAAAGGGTGTGGCTCATACTCATTCCACGTAGGAGGGAGAGTGACGGGCACATCTGTGTGATAGACGGGCACTAGAGAGACCGCCGGAGTGAGGACGCTGGAGAGAAAGCTGGCCATGGCATGAGGCGCCGAGGAGGCCAGAGCATTCAGGGAGTCTATAACGACGATGGCACCTACAACGTAGCTGTCAGCACCTCGCCATGTTCGCTGTCTAACCATTGCTCTGTGACTCACGCTGCGTTGGCTTGTCCTTTTGTGTGCTTGGATCGAACGGAGGGTAATGCGATACCAGCTCTGCTCTCACATTTTTGAGTTCCTTGCCAGCAGCTTTGACAAATACATCGGCATCGCGGGGTTTCTTCAGAGTTGTGAAGGAGAGGAAGATGACTTTGGCTTTGGAGATCTGCTGTCCCGTCAGTCACATACCCCGCTAAAACAGTTTCCTCTTTGACTTTTTTATCTGCCATCATGGGATCTCGTACCTTTGCCCTGGAGAAAAATTCGGTGATGAGAGGCTGTGCTGTTCCCTCTAGGCTGTCGAGGATGAGGGTGAGCGGACTGGCGCCATCGCGGAGGTTCAGTAGCTTTTGCAGTAGGAGGAGTGAGTGTGAGCGGGTGTGTGCGTTGTTTGCTGGCGCCATCTTCTCCCTGCGCTTTGCGCCTCGCAAGTTATGAATACCGATAAAAAGTGCTAGATCGGATATTTCATATATGTCCTGTGAGGGTGAGATGTTCGGCGCGGCTGTTGTTGGAGGGTGAAAATGTTTTTGGCATGTCCAACGTCGATGCGCTAAACTTTGATGTAGCACTCCACAGCCTTCACCCAAAACCGAGAAAGTGTTCATGTAATCCTTTCCACGTCAAGTCTCGCTCTATGTCTGGTGATCTTCATTTAATGATTTTTTTTAGTCTAATTTTATTTTATTATATTATTCTCAAATAGATGTTGGCAAATCGCTATTCCTCGTGATAATCGTTGACTAAAGCAACAGCGCCCTCCTGGGGGAGTAACCAAGTATCATGCTAGCTCGTCCTTCTCATCTGCGGTCCCAGCTACGTTGATCGTTGAACCCCGCCTCTGCTTCCAGGAGGAGGGAGTTGGTGTTTCTTTAGGCTGGGGATCGTCTGCTTGTAGTTCGTCGATTGACATGGCGTCGCTGTCGGCTGCATCGCATCTCGCTACTTTGATCGGGGTTTCGTTTCCCAGGTCTTTCATTTCGCTGCCACCCGGGCCGCCGGCTCGATCCTGTGTTTCCCGTGAGGTCGCCTCTGATGCTTTATTCTCCCCGTCGACGGCCTCATTTTGATTACTGCCGCGGCTCACTTGCCGCTTTGGCTTGAAGTCTTGTGGAAGTTGAACCTTCCACTCTGCTTCGAATTTGTCTGCGAGATGCTCGTCGAAATCGCCCAATTTGCGTCGCTCATGTGCTGACCAAGCGCTTGCGAGCCACTCCGGATCAAAATGACCCAAGGCGATATTCTCAGTGTAGGTGGCACAATCGTGGCGGAAGGTGTCATCATTCATCAACGACATCAAATTGGGTCGCGCATTCTCGCTCTCAGGGTCGAGAATGTGTTCCTTGTCTGGGAATAAGGCGAGTATCTCTGCCTTGTCAGTGGCATCAAGTACGTCCCATGCCATTGGATTTGCCAGAAGTCTCTGTTGAAAAGCAGGAGAGCGTTAGCGATCACAGCTCTGATAATGGAAACACGCAAGCAGTGGTGTGTCACGGAGGTCTAGGTACACACTCTCAAATCGGCCTTTGCGAGGGGGGACTTTGGATCAATAATAATGTTTTCAGCGTCCCATTTTCGCGCCTTGGTTGTGCGTTTGATGGTCACGGTGGAAGCTCGCTTTGCGGCCGGGCGCGATGCAGCGTTTCGCGTCCGCCCGCGGGAAGAGGCTGTGTTGGGTTTGCTCTCTTCCTCCCTCTCCTTCTCTTCTGGAGATTGGGTGCTCTGGGAATCTGTCGGTAAAACATCAGATTCAACGAGAGACGGGGCTGAAGAGAGAGTTGACGAGCTAGTGTCTCCTTGTTGGTCATGTTCGTCCTCCATCATTCAAATCCTCGGTGTTGACTCCTTTGGTGGTGCAATTGCTCGGATGAGGATTGGGGATTTGATAAGACCAGGCAGGTGATCGGGAGTCCACTAGAGGCCAAGAGAAAGCTGCATGCTGTGCAGCATTGCTCTATTAGCTATGCAGGTGCCTAGTTGCAAGAGACTCTAACGCTCTCGATGCCCGCGGAACATGGAAATGCTGCCTGAGATGATGGCTAGCCTTTAAGACGGTACATGAATGATGATGCGCAACTGTTGAACCGTTGGAGACAGCTACTGCGACAACCTTGTGGTAGGTGACCGTTTCGGCTTGGCGTCATCGCCGCTCTTGCCCAATCGCCGTTTTAGTACCCACCATGTACCGTAACTGTCCAGAGTTTGTGCAAGACCAGACTGAAGCATTCCTTCCTCCACATCCACGGAGAAGGTGGGCATCAGTGAAGACTTGCCTTATAATTTCTTATCCACGGCCTCGTTGTATCTGACAAAATGCTTCGGCCATTACTGCCTCTGCAATGCTCATGACCTGCCTACCGTAACGCTGGCGAGATCTCGGATTCGTGATAGTATGGAGAAAACACAGTCTTGTGGTTAGCCTAACGAAGTCTATGGTCTTACGGCTGATTAAGATCTCCGAAATATGGAATCCTTTCAATTATAATGGCTATGAAGCCAATATTTACATTTTGAGCCTCATATCTTGCAAGCAAGAGTAATACTACAGCTACAGCTGTGGTTACGGCTATAGTTGCGGCTACAGTTACGGCTACAGCAATGGCTACAGCTAGCGCTTCTCGCAACGGCAGACAGCTAGGTATCTGCCTGGCATCAGTGCCTTGGTGTGCTCGAAGCTTTGGGTGAGCTCGACCATTCTCACCTTGCAAGTGCTACAAGTACTTCAGGATAATACGGCACCGAAGTGCCCTCGGGATGTCGAAGGCGGGGCTCGATGGTGACCCGTGAGGGGGATCGTCGACAGGCCCCGCAGCGAACGGAGAAATATGGTCTCGCCCGAAGCTTCGGCCCTCACCCGTACCATTCTCGACAGAGCTGAAGCGACCGGAGGAACTTCTTCGGGGGCTGACTTGAATGTTAAGCGGGCAGCGAATAGATGATGGTACATACCTCTACACGTATATCCTGTCCCCCACCTCTGACTGCTGGGATAAAAGGGTAGTATTATTACCCGCTGCCTAAGATGCCGAGCCAGCCTATAAATGAATCAGCTTCCCTCCACTTCCCCAGCCCATGCATACTTGATTCCTCATGTACGACCATGATTCCACTGCTAGGTGATCCATAATTATCAGAGTCCCCCCAGTTCATGAAATAGATTTGACTCCCTCGTCTCAGCATGCCTGTCCATCTTGGCTACGATGATGTCCATCCTTTCTCAAAGGTAGACATCAAGGATAAAGCTTCAGTACAAGAGCTTTTGCGCACCGTCCTCGATCCTTTAGAGCCATTCTTCTCGCCTCAGAAAGCACGAGTTAGATGCCCGGGCGCAACTGCGGTTCGCTTTGACCAGACAGCCTCGGAAGTAGAAGGATTCGCTCGTCCACTATGGGGCCTAGCTTTTTTGCTGGCTGGTGGCGGCGAGTATCGAGGGACGGAGTGGTGGGTTGAAGGGTTGAGGACAGGAACTGATCCTGAGCATCCCGAGTACTGGGGATATCCTCGTGACAATGACCAGAGAATGGTGGAAATGTGCCCTCTGGGTATGCGCGAGTGCTCATATATTTGAGGAGACTGATCCTGGTGCTAATCATCTCAATGTGTAGGATATGCACTTGCTGTAGCGCCAGTATTTTGGGACAAATTGACGGACAAAGAAAAGTCCAATGTGGAAACTTGGCTAGGAAACTCCATCAACGAGAAAAAGTTCGTCCGCGTCGAGAGGATCAATGCTG